TGCGCACGCCACGTGTGGGGTCGACCCATGTGCAACGGAACAGAACGCATGTCAATTTTTTCGCACAAGAAGGCATCTCAAGTTCCAGAATCTCCTGCAGGACACCAAAAAAATTGGTTTCCGAGTTATCATAACCGATGGTCGGGACACATAACCCGCTGTTCGTTGTTGGTCGGCCCTCTCCGTAATCGGCTGTGTGATATGTGTAACCGTTTATCACATATTGCCGCCACACTTTGGCACTGGCACCTGGGCCCCACGCTAATGATACTAACAAAGGGTCGACAATCCCACGACTATTGATCTGTAAATATAAACATAATAATAACATTAGGTAAACATTAGGTAATATATATAATTAATGTGTGTGTATATATACCTGATACTTGTACCAATTTACAAAATCAGAGTCCACCAACGCATCAATTTCATTCTCAGGAAAGGCTGATAAAGAAGCTCGGAATTCACTGTGAAGTCAAAAATAAAAAAAAAACTATAAATTAACTGCAAATCCATCTGAGCACAATCCCAGCCGCACATTTCGTGGCTCCATAGCAAACTGAGGATGACAGCGGTCAAAGTGTCTCCAGGCTTCACAGTCCGAAGGGTGAGCCATCATACCCTCGTTGGTTTCGTGCTCAACATGCCATGTCATGTGTTTCGCAGTAGCAGTCGAAGCGTACATCCTTTGCAGTCGAGGAGCTATTGGGAGGTAATACAGTTTAGACAGTGCAGACCTATGTCGTGGTTTCTTTTTATTTTGACGAACAGGTTTGTATCTGTCTCCACCACAGAACTTGCAGAACTCAAGTGCCTCATCCTCCTTCCAGAACAACATACATCCTTCCGGGCACGCATCAATTTCAACACAAGGTAGCCCCAACTTAGACATTAACTGCTTCATGTGGTAATATGAATCGGGAAGGGTATGATCTCGCGGTAGCATCCCTCCTACTGACTGCAAGACTCTATTCATGCAAGTTTCAGGGAGACTGTATTCGGCTTTTATGTTCATGAACTCAGTAACAGCGGATAGCTGAGAGTATCCCTCACAATCAGCATACAGAGGTTGGTCGACAGCTTTTAGAACATCCTGAAATCTCTCAGCCAAACCTTCATCCACATAAGGTTGATAAAATGTCGGATTTTCATCCGCATCTGGTTGATACGAGGTTGAGGCTTCAGGGGGGTCGTTAGGTGGTTGTGGGGGGTTGAATTGAGACGGTACACCGTATGCGTCATATACCATTTGTTGGTCCCACCTCATTTCAGCACGGTCTCCCCACGCACTCATCTCTGGAGGGACGTAACGAGACGAACCTACCGTTTGTGGTATAACAGATGGATCCAAAGGTTCGCCGTGAGAAGTCCAATTATAATAATTGGGAACAAAACCGACCGCGTACAAATCATACCCAACTTCGTGTGGGTCTTTAAATTTGAGATTTTTACACTTTGAACATGGACATCTTATTTTATCACCACTCATATAAGCCGGATGTTCAAGTGCAAATTCAATAAATTCCCCGACTCCCTCGAGAAAATTTGATTGCATTCCGTACAATACCGCATCTTTATCATACATCCAACTTCTATTTTGTTTATACATTATGCCTGAATATTATAATAAAAAATTATATGAAATGCAATGCACACAATTTTAAGTAATTTATTTCACTAAATATAATCAACTAATTTTCACTTTTTTTAAATGAAATGCACAGAATTCACATCTTAGTTATGCACAAAATATATTTCCCCTAATGCACAATAATGCAGATAATTTCACTAAATTAAACATACGTTTAATTAAATCTAACTAATTCATTTAGTTAAATTTAACTAAATTTAAGTAGTTCATTCCGTCCCCTTTTAATGCATCACTACGTTTAAACTTACGTTTAGCTACCTAATTTAACTTAATTAACACATCAATAGCTACGTTCAAACCTACGTTTAGCAAACGAATTTTAATTAAATTATTTTTGTAAACCTACGTTTAAACCTACACTAAATTATTACGTTAATGACATTTAATCTTATTAGTAATACACAATTAACAATTCACTAAATTAAATAATATGACCAAATTCAACCCAATAATTTGAACATGTATATAAAGTTATTTGAATTAATAAGCAATACACAATTCACAATAACAATTCACAATTCACTTAATTAACACATTACTAACGTACGTTATTTGAACTAATTTCACTAAACATAAACATCATTACGTTTTAAACCACATTTATCTAACTAATTTTAATTAAATTATTTTAATTTATAAACCTAAAAGTTTAACTAATTCTAATTTATGACATTACTACGCTTATAGTTAAAACATGTTGTTAATTAATTAACAACCTCACTAATTTAATAGTTTTAATAATTTAAATTGAACCAACTAATTCTAAATAAAAATTATAATTCAAATAACATACCTTATCTGCATAAACAGGGAAAATGATAGAAGATAGACTACATCCTTCGATCTACGGATACTGTATATACTGGGAATAAATTGGTGTGGTTCTGTTGAATGAATGAGCTGCTCCTGCATATATAAAAAATTTAGTCACGGACTTAGTCACGGATTTGTCCGTCACTAAGCAAAACCGTGTCCAATACGCGTCCAACACGTGTTAATTACGTGTAAATGACGTGTTAATCAACATAGTCACGGAACTAGTCACGGATATGGCCGTGACTAGATTTATCCGTACATAATGCCGTTGCGAATTAACTAAGGGATTGAAAAAAATTAAATTTTAACTATAGTCACGGACTTAGTCACGGATTTGGCCGTGACTAAGTCGTCGGAATCAAATAAACTTCGCCGAAAACGGGAATGAGGAATTAAGTCACGGTCCACGACCGTGACTAACATTAGTCACGGTCGTAGTCACGGTCCTGACCGTGACTATTTTTTTTTTAAATTTCCGTGACTAGTCCGTGACTAGACCGTGACTAAACTAGTCACGGACGAAATCCGTGACTAAAATCCGTGACTATAACGCTGTTTTTTTGTAGTGCTTTGATGGGCTCAATATTCTAATATAGCCAGATATATATTGGCCTTAATGCATCAAATACTAGTTCAAAATTATGTTTCTTATTGAAAATAATTGGTTTGTTTGGATTTTTGACAAACCAACCTGAAAAATTGGTTCCCAATAAATTGGTACCCAGTCTTGAAAGGTTTGATTTTGGTTGTGATAATTTGAGTAACCAATATTTCGGTTCAATTCGGTTCCAAAATTCGTGGGATCAGTTACCCGGAACCCAAATTGAATGCAGGTATAGCTATACCTCCCTTGACTAAGCACTCCATTTGGCTTATAGAAGCTAGATGTTTGATACATACATACTCTTTGGGGTTCCTAAGTATGAGAGTCGCCCTAACGTGTTTAATTTGTACTTCTTATATATATTTAAAATTATATATAATTAGTTCTTAAAGTTTGTGAATATTGATAGTCACTCATGGGTGCCGATCGAGTTAATTCACTACGGAACATAATTATGCACACGATCATATCATGATTTAAATATTGTGTCGAACTCCTTAATTACATTATCATTATTAATTAACCACACATGTCATTAGAATTAGAAGGTAGTTATAACTGTATAAGTAGTAATCTGACTGCGCCCAGGGTCCGATATTCCACTTCTCGTGTTCCATAGAAAATTTGGTTTGGAGAAGGCATGGATGGCTGATTCGATGTTGCTGGTGAAGTTTAAAAGTAAAATAAAGTTTAATCCAGACATTATTGTTTGCTTAAGTGATGTAGCAATTAAAAACTAAATACTCCGTATCACGTAACAAGGAATTTCAAAAGTGAAATATATTTCGAATGCAACTTTTTCAGCTTTTAGCAGATTCAACACATTTAGCCATGCATTTCAATGAAAATTTCACTAATTTCATCAGATTCACTAATAATTTGTGTAGCAATCTACTAACTTCAATATTTGCTTATCAAGTTATCATGCTTATAGACAAATTATTCGTACTGAGTATATAGAACTATTCAATATGAGTAATGAGTTTATTTATGACTCTACAAAATTACTCAATTAACTAATATGTCTAGTAATAATGACTAAATAAAAATGGAGTGAATGTACATGATAATAATGATTTGTAAGCGGAGTCAATGTGTATGCTAAATATCATGTATTATGTAGCTTATTTGTTACAATACGATTTGTATTAAAAATGAAGCAATTTTGCAACGCATTGAACACGTCATAAATCATACTCCTTCCGTCCCATTGGACTTTGTCAGCTTTCCCTTTTTGGTTATCCCAATAAATTTTACCACTTTCCTATTAAAGCAACTAATTTGTAGTTCTGCACATTTCTCTCTCCTCTGCACAAATTTCAACCACACAGTTTTTATTATTTTTATTTTTCACCTACTTTGCACATGACAAAGTCTACCGGGACGGAGGTAGTATATTGTTTCAATATATTTCTTTTTCTAAGGACTAATATATAGTAGCTGAATATAAGTATTTTCACATATTATAGCTTTCATACTTTTATTTAGTTGTTTTAATTTTTGACATACTTTTAGTCCTTTAAAATTTGTTCTAGCTAGTTCCGCCAAACTTGATGTTTGTCTCAGTTTGTCTGTAGTGTCAACGAGCATAATCACCTCAAATTATGAGTTTTTATTCTGATCTTGACATATTCTGATCTTACAAATGAATAATTTATGTTGCAGTTTCGACAATAAGAGTTCCCTTGGCTTGAATTTCATTATACTATGTATGTGAAGAGGAAGGGAATCCAAAAAGCTACAAAACGTGGTACAAGTCTTCCCATTTGTGTGCTTATTATTAAGATTCTACTAATGTTTATTTTTTGCGATTCTGTGAGTCCATGTGATAAAGAGAATACTTCTTCTGTCCCATTTTACATGTCTTATTTTTCTTTTCAGATTTTCCAAAATAAGTGTCACGTTTTTTTTTGGAAAAAATATGTGACCTACAACATTTCGTTTATTAATTATAATCAAATCGCAATCACAATTTTTACATTTCAACCAAACATTCCAAGAAAATGCCTTGTTTGAGAAGGGAAAACAAGGTGTATAGTAAAAACCTAAAAATTGATCGCTAATCATTAATTGCGACGGAAAAAAGTGGCCGCATGACAGCCGTTATTGGCATCGCCGCAAATGATATTTTGCGGAAAACAGATTCGTCGCAAACGTGATCATAAACCATAATATCCACTGAATGCTTAACTTTGTTCCGTCCAAAATTTTAATATCCCGCTGTGGATTACTACCGTAGTATTATTTAACCCAAAAGACGAATCATGTCACTAACGAATGAATTAATATTTTCTTTTTGAAAGGAGAAATTAATCGATTCAATACCGCCTTACGACGAAGAAAAACAAATCAAATTAAAAATAAATAATCACGAGCATCTTCAGCCGGAGCGACAAATTCTGGCGCTATCACAATCCCGCCTTCCTTTGTTGACCGGCTGCAGGGGCGGCAAACCTGGACGAGAAATTACGCAAAAGCCCATCTTCTTCCGCCGCCGCGCAGTCATCGAAATTCAGAGCATAGCTCCGCGCGTCGTATATGAACTGGGCCTTCTGATCACGCTTCGCCGCCGGAGGGAAAGCTCTTCCCACTTTCCTCAACAAATCACTCCACTTTTTCCTCGCCAAAAGCTGCGGCGGCTCCCTCATCATCTCCGCCGCCTGTCTCCGGCACCACGGCTGTCCGGAGAACGGAGTCGAACAGCCGCACCCGGACGGAGAAGCCGCCGCCTCTTCTTCGCACCCGCCGTCGTGTACCGCCGTTCCAGTCGACGAGTTACCGCCAATGAACGGCTGCCTTTCTTGATTAGCGCACATATTGTATTGATTTCGGTGAATTCGTACGTAAGTGTTTGGAGGGGTTAATGGGGTTTGATTATCAAAATTAGGGGAGGTTTATGAGGTTTATATACGTAACTGTATTGGCGCGTGTAATTATTGTTGGGGCCAATAAGAAGAAACTTGCTTGCTACACACGGAATGGTGACTTCACAACTCTGATTAAAAACGGATTACACACTTATTATTGGCAATTTATGTGACTGATCTTGTTTCAATTCTCAAGTGTGTTTACCACCTCTCACCTCCACATGTAATAATGATCTTATGCAGGGCCTCGATTTTCGGGCTATGGGCGAGATATTATCTTGGACTTATGTTTAAGACACAAAGTAATCTCTCAATATTGATCAACGAAGCAGGACCTACCACTTGTTTATTCTCTTCACCTAAATTACATTTATCTGGCTCAATTTCAATATTTGCGGCTTCTGCACTTATATCACTATTTCCAAGCATGTTATGGTTTTCATTCGCAAAAGAATTTAGCAGCGATTCAACTTGAAAAGAATTTTCGGAAATCAATTTATTAACAAAACACAAAATTTTCCATTGCTCCCTTCTTACTTAAGGCTGCATTTTCTAATATTTGTCCGTTTTTCTCTTTTTCCCAACCAGATTCCCCTATTTTATCAAGCACCTTCACAATAGTAAAACTAAATAAAGGAATTCTATTTCAAAATTGCACACTACCACACAAATATAAATATACCAAGACACTAAAAATGCATCATATAAATCATTAATCATAATTCATAAATTAAAAGAACATTTAATGGATTTATTATTCATAGCTAATAGATTAAGACTAATTTACTGGTCGTTGTCGGATTGTTTGAAGCATTGACAGAAGAATGTGTTCTAGTCGTCGGCTGCTATTTGGGCTCCTCACCGCTGACCGCTTTGGCAAATGGCTACTTGCATGCTTGCAGCGCTTTCTAATGTCTACTCTTGTGTAGATGGTCAAAACCTTATTAAACCTTAACCCTTTAGTTTCTTAGATAATTGAGTTTAATTGGAACATGGAAACCACCGTCCAACGAATTAATTAGGTTAGTGGGATGGGGTGATTTATGAATTGGGAGTTTGGGAGACACATGTGCTATATAAAGAGTTAGAGACAATAAATATTTTGGTAGTTTTGTAATTAAAAGAATTATAAACCATAGAGATGTGAAGAGACTTAACTACTCAAAGAGGCCGGCCGCGTGCCTTTTAACATTTGTTTTAAAAATTTTAAATTTTCAACAAAATTAAACCTTAGGCCTAATTACTTGAGCTTAAAATATACAAAAAAGAAGCTTACTCATACTATATAAAGACGAAATTTTGGGCCTATTTTTCCCTCCTATTTTTTCGGGCCTAGGGCGGTCGCCCCTGTTGCACCCCCTAGGACCGGCCCTGATCTTATGTGTTCATTATGATGATAAGTTGATAACCATCCACGGCTCTAACACCCATTGTGTGACAACTTATACTTGACATAGGCTAAACGCAGTCATGTGGACTGGATCAGTAGTAAAAAAAAATCAAAATACTTTTATATGATAAAGTTGATAGATGGGGGCATTTTTAGAATTTGGGATGGGTAGTGACATAATATGCCCCTAACTACACCTAGAGCTGGCTTTTTGAACAGAAAAGCCAAAAATCGAACAAAAAATAATTGAACCGCATTTAAAAAAAATCAAACCATATTGAACAGATAAACTTTGTGACCCGAAAAGAATTGGTTCAAAATAGACTAATATACTCAAAATATCCGTTTGGACCGGATCGAACCAATTTTTTTATTAATAATAATTGCTATTATTAGTACTAATGACGTTTACAAATGGTACATGTAGAGTTACTGGACCGGCTCAGACCTCAATCACCATAGCCCCAAGAGCTAGCTCACCATTCACCACCAAGGAGTCAATAAGGGAAACCGAAAGGGCAACAGTCTCAAACACTTAGTTTTGGAGCCCAAACCCCTCCCAGACCAGACCCCAGAGAACCCACCGGAGAAGAACCCCCAAATACCAGCTCAGAGTGAAGCCCACAGAAGGGAACCCCAAGGGTCTCACCGGAGGATAGCCGGAGCTAAGCCTACAGTTCAACCGGCACTCTCTCACTCTAGAACTAGGGTAACAGTCTAGGCTTCTCATCGCTAAGAGAGAGGGAAGGGTCGCACAAATAGGAGATTCCAGAAGGAACGGGACAATATAAGAGAAGGGCCACAATGAGTCATGGGCTGGATAAAGACAAGGGGAGACGAATGGGCTTGGTCGGGTAGGCAAAAGGAGTTGGGCCAGACTCATTAATTAGGAGACCAACATATTAATGAGGCGAGCCAAGTACAACAGAGGTGGACCAATACCAACTCACAATCTCCACCTTATTGGTCCCCATGGTGGTGTAGAGCAAAATGTGAATGGGAGTATCATCATCGCCGGTTTTTCTTGTTTTAATCTGTTCTTATCAGCCACAATCTAAATTAAGAAAACGTTTACAGGATAATAGTTTTTCAAAAGTGAGACATTTAGTCCCCATATCGGCAGGGTTGAATTCAGAAGCTATTTTGCACAGCTTGATCCCTCCTTTGTCAACAATATCCCTGATGAAGTGGAACCTGACATCAATGTGTTTGGTCCTGTCATGAAATACAGGATTTTTGCACAATTGTATAGCAGACTGGCTATCAGAGTACACCGTTACAACCTGTCTAAGAAAATCAATTTCAGATAGAATACGTTTCAGCCAGATAGCCTCTTTAAAGGCCTCAGTGGCTGCAACATACTCAGATTAAGTAGTTGAAAGAGCAACAATGGGCTGAAGTTGGGATTTCCAACTTATGCATGAACCACACAAAGTAAAAATATAGGATGTAGTAGACTTCCTATTATCCCTAGCATTTGCATAATTGGAATCAACATAACCAGTAAGGCATATTTCAGAATCAGACTTAGAAAACACAAGACCATGAGAAATGGTACCCTTAAGGTATCTAAGCAACCATTTCAGGGCATTCCAATGAGGCATCCCAGGGTTGGCCATATATCTACTTAAGCAGCTGACTGCATAGGCAATATCAGGCCTGGTGCTTACCATGAGATACATAACCGACCCTATTGCATTGGAATAGGGTACAAACTTCATCCTATCAATTTCAGGGCCAGTCTTAGGAGACTGATCCTTACTTACAGCAAAATGAGAAGCTAAAGGCACATTGACAGGCAAGGCAGAATTCATGTTGAACTTCTTGAGGACTTTATCAAGGTAGGAGGTCTGGTTAAGGGTAAGGGTACATCTACTCCTATCCCTAATGATATTAATCCCTAGGATTCTCTTAGCATCTCCTTAGTCCTTCATAGCAAAGTTTTTACAAAGACACTTTTGAACATTCTCAATGGCATTCACTGTCACGCCCCAGACCGCAATCCAAGCGCGTGTACAACCGCCGTATAATCAAGTGACGTCACCCGCGAGTCAACCTCACTTAATTACACAAGGCGTTCGAGAATATAAACCATCCATACTCAGTAGTAAACATACATAACAACATCACACTTAAACCAATGAATAGCGGAAATATTCAACGGTAAGTCATAAGCCACAACCGGCCAACAACATGGGCATGCAAGCCCCAAAAGTAGTTTATAACAAATAAAAATATCCATGAGCAATGTTTAGTCATTTGAAAGGAAATGAGGAAGCACGAACCACGTCTTCCTTGACTTGATGTCACCCGTAGAAAGGTGCAGGTAGCAAGCCCTAGCTTCAACCTGAAAATGGTGGGGGCCCCCGAAGGGGTCAGTACAAGTACCGAGCGAGTAGCAGGCTAAATATAGAATAACTAGCGTTTCAAGTATAAGACCCAAACATAGGATGATACATATACGTATAGTCTTTCCCCCAAGTTTGAAATACATATTAGTATACATACACTTGGAAATACCCGACCCGTAGGTCATTGTTTATTTGGGAAAATAATAGTAGCCAATATCCTTGACTTAAATCCCAACCCACCCATATACCTATGAGTGTATAGAACTCCTCCTTGTTCAAATAAATCATCATAAGGACACCGCCCGGTCCTAGATCATTAAATGTAATCTATGAGTTTTGAGGATACACGCCCGATCCTTGGGTACTCCACCCTATAATTGAGTTTTGAGGATAACCGCCCGATCCTTGGGTACTCCACCCTATATAACCGAGTTTTGAGGATAACCGCCCGATCCTTGGGTACTCCACCCTATATAACCGAGTTTTGAGGATAACCGCCCGATCCTTGGGTACTCCACCCTATATAACCGAGTTTTGAGGATAACCGCCCGATCCTTGGGTACTCCACCCGACCTATGACTTACCACATATCACACTAGATAGGGTCTATATCATATTTAGCCATTCATAACTAATTCAATACATAAAACTTATGTATCACATTCCATGCAAAGCCATGCAATTATGTAAATGTTCAATTAATTAATATCGACCGGTATTAATTAATCCCTTATCCACCGGTCACGTGGTCGTTGACCGCCATTACAAACCTTGTACAAATCAACTTAATCATCACATAATTAAGTTAAAATATTCATTTGTGCTTCTAATACACTTCAAGCAAATATGCATTTTATATAATTCTCCATATCATATTCTATGCATAAACAATCTATTTCTTTCATACAAACTTAACCCTATTGGCTAATCACATGTTTAAATATCTTTTAAACATCATTATGAATTCATATAACATTTATTTAGGTAATCTTATAATTAACCCAAAAGTTATAAGATATTAAGCCGTCCACTCACCTTGAACTAGCGTTATGAAGTTCTACCCCTCTTGGTTGAACTCCGGTGAAATTCCGGCGACTTTTGGTCAACTCCGGCGACAACTCCGGCGACTTTTCCGACTTTGTGAAATCACTTGAAATACCTTTCACAAGTCCCTAACAAGGTTTTATAATCATAAAACCCATATTAATACAAATAACCTCAAAAAGGTTATTTTCCGGTGAACCGGTCGTTTTGGCCTCTAAGCCCGTCCTTGGACATAGAGTCACTTTCCATCCCATAA